TCGTTGTGTTTGAGCCATATCCCTCGCTTGGCCATCGAAGGACCTCCACGTGGTGTTAGGCAGGGAACTACTTCGTAGCTGCCCTGGACGTGTGTATAGGGCAGTTGTCCTCATTGTTTCTGGGAAGGGCCAAGGCATAACTGTACCGATGGGAGTATTTTTTTTCTAACAATTCGATACATTTGTCCAAGAGGCATTTTCCCTGTTTTGCCAACATCATGTAGGGAGATCCACCCCCACATATCGCCGCTCCCCGCCGTTTTAAAGATAAATTGTCTGTCATATGTGAGATGTAAATAATGATATAGAATCTGAACATGAAATATGACGTGTAGGACACTGTTCTGTTTTAACAAATATCTATATAGCAAATTGAAATAAATGTATTTGTGAAATATTGAAAAGGGCTAACATCTACACCTTTAATTCCCTTCAGCAATGGAGCTTTCCGTGTATTTCAGGTGTATATTTGTCGTTATGGGTGCCCTCTTCCCACCCTATCTGTCTGTATACCATCGTCCGGGAGATGCCCAGATTTCCGAATATATCGCCGTTGGAGAAGTTACTTTCCCTCACCCCATTGTAGCAGCCTCTATTTCAGATTGCAGCTTGCTTTGCTTCCATCCTGAAAAAGGTGTCAGCTTGGCAGCCTCGTTTTGAACTCGGATTTCATATGTTATTAAGACCATCTAGTCAGAGAGCCCAGAGAGATTTAATCACCATAGCGAGTACAAAAGGTTTGACACCTGGGTTGAACACCTAAGGGGCCATGGATCCCTAAACGGCCATTCTTAAGTGAGCACGTTGTGGGTTTGGACACTTAAGAATGACCTAATTAATGCTAATTATCACTTTTAATCAGCATGTTGCGTACACCAGTGAAACCTTTACAGAATATACACATGCTGATATCATATTGGTAATTCTTAAGTGTCGGTTTTGAGGGAAAAGCCACTTAAGAAGAGGTCAAACGTAGTGACTCGTCCAAATTCCGTCTTCCGGTACCTTTAAAATGACTGCTACTCCCTTATTATTTGGAGTACTGGGTCAAGATTGGACTTCAAATGTAGATTTTAATGGGAGGAATAAGGATCACTTGTTTTATCATCCATTCTCGGGTACCGTTATTACACACACAAAAAAGGGTGAAAAAACGGGTACCCTTTTTACTCCCACTGGCTTTAAAGTTTTATCAGCATGGTTGAGTACATCCATGAAACCTACACCAAAATGTTCCTCTACCAACACATAATAAGAATCAATCATTCTTAAGTGTCAAATATTGGACAAATCCACTTAAGAACGACGGACAGGTCAAAGTGTACTCGTTGATCCAACCAAAGGTTTCAATCATCATGCGGAGTACATCAATAAAACTTGCAAGATATGTTCCGCGAGACATCCTGACAGCATCCAAGCCTTTCTTAAATATCTCCATGCTGAATATGACAACTTAAGAACACTTTAAATCGGGCATAATAGTGACCTCCAATTGTAAAGTATCATTTGACATGCCTGCGTGGCGGTAATAACCAATAACGAAATGGAAATAAACAAATGTTATTTAATACAAAAAATATATGAAAACACACTATAATGAAACATAAAAACATAAAATGTAATAGATTTCATACTGAACTGGTACTAACGATGATTATTGACTGTACGCAGATAATCACAACTTAAAACTTGGATGGATTCATGGCAAAATATTAGTGCTCCATGTTAATTAATCAGTTATACATATGAAATGTTTCTGTTGCTCACAGGGTCTGCACGCAGATAATCACAAAATATTAGCACTCCATGTTAATTAATCAGTTACACATATGAAATGTTTTTGCTGCTCACATGGTCTATTATGGTTTGATATGCCGTTTTGTATTTTTTTACTTATAATTACACGCTGGAAAAACTAGGGGTTAAATGGAGACGATGATGCATTTCTTCATCTGTCTATTCCTCATCATCCGACAGCTCATTTTCTTCGTCCGAGGTTACTGCCTCCATATTTTCCTCATCTTTATCACCATCGTCATTCATTTCACCTTCGTCTGGGACATGGGACTCGGGTAGCTGAGGGCCATCAAACCATGCAGGTACATACAACCCGTCTTCGAAACCCCTCGCTTTTCTTCGGGTGCTGAACAATCTCCGTCTATTGGCCTTTGACCACCTCTTGGCAACAAACAATGCTCTCTGAATGTGGGTGATAACTTCTGCCTCACAAGGTGGTATCAAACTTCCATCCAGGCCTTTCACTTTTGCTAATGGGTTTTGGCCTGTAGCTTTCCTTCCCGAGTGACACTGATATTGCTTTAACTGATTTAACCCCTAGTTTTTCCAGCGTGTAATTATGTAAAAAAAAATACAAAACGGCATATCAAACCATAATAGACCATGTGAGCAGCAAAAACATTTCATATGTATAACAGCTCTGATTTTCCCCGACAGTCAATAATTATCGTCAGTAGTTCTTATTATTGACAAATTACTACCAAAAACAAAAAAAATTTCATGTGTAATAACGGCATGGATGATGATCCTTATTCCTCCCATTAAAATCTACATTTGAAGTCCAATCTTGACCCAGTACTCCAAATAATAAGGGAGTAGCAGTCATTTTAAAGGTACCGGAAGACGGAATTTGGACGAGTCACTACCTTTGACCTCTTCTTAAGTGGCTTTTCCCACAAAACCGACACTTAAGAATTACCAATATGATATCAGCATGCCATAAAGTATATTCTGTAAAGGTTTCACTGATGTACTCAACATGCTGATTAAAAGTGATAATTAGCATTAATTAGGTCGTTCTTAAGTGTCCAAACCCACAACGTGTTCACTTAAGAATGGCCGTTTAGGGATCCATGGCCCCTTAGGTGTTCAACCCAGGTGTCAAACCTTTTGTACTCGCTATGCTGATTAAATCTCTCTGGGCTCTCTGACTAATCGGACATGTATGCTATGTCTAGCCGCGAAATAAATATTCAGGAATTGCTGTATATTCACTGGCATAAAAGAGATGAAATATATGACTTCGTGTTATTTTCTACATTGTTCCTCTTTCTGTAAACTACTCAAGTTCCAGATGAACAAATTAGCTTTTGACACACCGGGAAATTATTACTTCTAGGATAATACAACAGGAACAACGAAAGGGCAAGAAAACACACGAACATGTCTTCTAGGATAATGTACAAAGAGAATGAATTTCATGTAAAGGTTTGATATGCTAATATAATCTACACCTATGCATATACTGCATTACATTGCACTAACAAATAGAAAGAAAATGGATAGATGGTAAAAACAATTGACAGCGAGAAATTACCATTCAATTAGAATGAACAATATATACAACACAAGTATTGGAAGTTGGTTCTAAGATTTTTGCTATTCACCCTCCTTGGAACCACCCAGCTAATAGTTGCTTGAGTTGAAAAAGCAAACATGCATTTTCTCGCTCAGCTCTTCGAATGTGGATGCAACGTCTCAAAGAAAGGTCAAGATAAATATGTGTGTGTGCATAATAACGGCTAATTATACAAACTCTTTCGTAACTCATTACCAAGCATGACTCCGTATTTCCATAGACGATACACATACACACACATCGATAACGAATCTATATATGCATTGTAACCTAATTGTGATTTTGATCATGCTCTATATTGAATAATCTAATGTACCATGGTTTCTGTTTATTCAGTAAGTGTTTGATTCAGGCATAAAAAAAATCAAAAACACTTCATTAGTTCGATTAGCTGCTTCTAGATGGTGCAGGTGTCAAAGGTATTTACAGAGGTCTCAGAGATGTTTAAAGCATGAAACTTTTTCATGTTTTAAGAAATATGTATCAATAAATGATACTTCTTACGTTGTAAGGAGTAGGAAATGCCGCCTCCCCATCATAGATGTTGCCATTTAGTCAACGATAACTGATATTACATGCTTTGTTTTTTATCACTTATTTGAAGAAAGCGAAAGATCAAATGGTTTACTTAGTTTCAAAAAAATATTCATTAATACACTCATTGGTTACTTAAAATCCAATCACACTATTACAAATTACCTTGGGTTTTAGCACCATTCACAAAAATACTATTTACGCCATGTTTATCTCGACTGGTTGTCAGAGGTACAAAAGTGAGACCCAGAAAGTGTACTGATAATTAATTCGGCAACTGTACATATATATATATATATATATTATATATATATATATATATATATATATATATATATATATATATATATATATATATATATATATATATATATAATATATATATATAATATATATATATATATATATATATATATATATATATATATACGTATATATATATATATATATATATATATATATATATATATATATATATATATATATATATATATATATATAACCACACACATATGCAAATAAACGTATACACACACACACATATATAGATATGTACATGCATATACTATACATATACATATACATATATATATATATATATATATATATATATATATATATATATATATATAATATACATACATATATATATATATATATAATATATATATATATACATACATACATATACATATATATATATATATATTATATATATATATATATATATATATATATATATATATATATATACATGCATATATACACATATATTTATATGTGTATACAAATGCACATATATAAACACACATATGTGCAGTATATACATTTATACATATATTGCTGAATATATATATATATATATATTATATATATATATATATATATATATATATACATGTAAATATATATACATATATATATTTACCCACACTCATATATATGTAATATATATAAAATATACATATATATGTGTGTATGTGTATATATATACATACATTATATATTATATATATATATTATATATATAATATATATATATATATACGAGCAAGTCTATGCTAATACAGGGTAAATGCCATTTGCGTAC